AATAAAAAAACCATAACTTATATAATTATATACATAAAGGTTAAAATTTTATATATAGATACTAATTGATCAAAGAGATCCCGAAGCAAGAGATACACAAGGGAAAAGTTTGCCAGGTTTGGTATACGTGGCACGTGAGAAGAGACGTGAATGGCATCATAACTTCAAAGCAGGAGCCATGAATGCTCTGGTAATCTATATTCAGCACATCAATTCATGTATGATAAAAAGAAAATGTATTGAAGATGTAGTGATTTACTAATTTGTAAATGAATCAACAGATACGAGTGTCATCAAAGATAAGCAACAACCCAATAATTCTAAATGTGGATTGCGATATGTACTCAAACAACTCAGAATCCATACGAGATGCCATGTGCTTTTTCATGGATGAAAAAAGGAGTGAAAAGATTGCATTCGTACAGTTCCCACAGTACCATGATAATCTTACAAAAAATGATATTTACAGCAACGCTTTGATGGTCATCAATGACGTAAGATTGTTTTTCTTTAATTTTTGGACTGAATGAACTGTCTGAATGTAAGTAAATGACTTTTTTACCCTTGTGATAAAGGTGGAGTTTGGAAGTTTGGACTCTTACGGGGGGTGTCTATACATCGGAAGTGGTTGCTTTCACAGAAGAGATACTCTCTGTGGCAGAATCTATTCCCTAGACACAAAAATCAATAATTGGGAGAAACAAAATCATAAAGAAATTACAGAAAGTATTGATGTGATCGAAAACGAATGCAAAATTCTTGCAAGCTGTAGCTATGAACACAACACTCAATGGGGAAAAGAGGTCTCTCTCTCTCTCTCTCTCTCTCTCTCTCTCTCTCTCTCATTGCAGAATATATCTAACTGTATCCATACAGATGGGAGTAAAGTATGGGTGTCCAGTTGAAGATATTATTACTGGACTTTCCATACAATGTAGAGGTTGGAGATCTGTCCACTTAAATCCAAAAAGAAAAGCATTTCTAGGACTTTCTCCAACTACACTGTTACAGACACTTATACAGACAAAAAGATGGTCAGAAGGTGACTTCCAGATATTCTTATCCCAATACTGCCCCCTTGTATTCGGGCACAACAAAATTCCACTGAGACTTCAAATTTCTTATTGCTGTTACCTTTTATGGGCTGCAAATTGTTGGGCTACGCTATATTATGTTTCTGTCCCTTCTTATTGTCTCCTCGCACACATCTCTCTGTTCCCAAAGGTTTGACTTTTCAAGGTTTTCAAAATCATTACATTTTGTTTTACTATAAATAGCATTCATATGTTTGATTGTATTTAACTATTTATACCTACAGTTATCAAGCTACTGGTTTCTACCTTTTGCATATGTATTCGTTGGAAAATACGCCTACAGTTTAGGGGAGTTTTACTGGTTAGGGGGGACAGTAAGAGGTTGGTGGAATGACCAAAGAATGTGGTTATACAGAAGATTAACTTCTTACCTTTTTGGATTCTGTGATGTTATCTTCAAGTCAATTGGGTTCACCACTTCTGGTTTTGTCATCACATCAAAGGTTTCTGAAGAAGATGCGTTACAGAGATACAACAAAGAGATCATGGAATTTGGTGCCACGTCACCAATGTTCAACATTTTATCAACACTTGCACTCGTTAATGTTCTCAGTTTTATTAATGGAGTAAAGTGGGTGGTTATGGATTCAGACATTAATCATTTTAGGGAGTTAGGGATACAGATGGTTTTATGTGGTTTGATAATTCTCATTAACATTCCTTTATATGAAGGGATGTTCTTTCGTAAGGATAATGGGAGCATGCCCTCTTCTGTTACCTTCCAGTCAACTATTTTAGCTGTATTATTTTGTGCAATAGCCATTATGTAGATTGCAACATGTAAAAATATGTCTACTACGACTCATACTCTTAAGTTATTTATTAAAGAATTTACGTAAAAAAGACAATGTATAACTAATAGCCAAGAGGCTGTTTCTGTTGAGTTGTGATTCACCCTTCTTACCCTATAGCCACTAATCATATCAAACATGGGTCCCGTTCCCGAAAGAGAAAACGGGGGTTAGGTATGAGCTCTACGGATTTGGAAAAGAGAACAATAGGTTATGTGATGACAATCAGGGGTATTGAATTCACTTGGTTGTTTATGTTACAGAGGAGTGTTGCTCTTTCAACCACATAAGTAGAGTACATAGTGATTATAGAAGCAAGTAACTAGCTCATATGGTTGAAGAACTTCCTATAAGAAATTAGGATGCAACAAGAAGATTAAGGAAGATTGTTTATTGCACTTTGACAATCAAAGTGCAATCCATTTTTGGCAATGAATCCAATGTTTCATGGTAGGACAAAATACATTCAAATAAGGTATCATTTTATTTGAGAACTGATAAGTGTTGAGACTCTTAACCTGAAAAAGATCCTTGGTTACAAAGAATCCAACAGATCGAGGTTGTGACAAATGAGAAATTGAAGTTGTTCATGAATTCAACTGGCTTTACCGGTACTTGAAGAGAAAGTGTGGACTAGAGATAGATGATGATTACAAATTCTTAGATTGTATGATAATAGATTGGTTAAGCAACCTCCACTCGAAGTAGGACATTGGTGAGTTGTGGAGTATGATTTACTCTTTTGAACCTATAGATGTTAGGCACATTTTATGTGTTTTACTCCTTTTATATATAGACAAAATTTCACAATTGATCCATGTGGTTTACAGAATATCACATTTTTAGGACTTCCTAACAAAAAATCACACCACTGGTCCTTATGGTTTCAGTTCACTGTGCAATTGGTCATTGACCTTACCCGGTCACTTTTGTACCGTTAGTGCAACAGTATTTTTGTCTTTTCATTTAATAGTCATTGTAATCCTTCATCATCAAAGCTATCTCCAAAAACTGTACCAGAACCACCAATATATCTACCAACACATACACCACCATCATCACCACCAAGCTAGATTCATCGATCTCTTACCCTAATCTCCAAATCTTTATTTATACTCGGGAGAAACAACAAGAGTTGCAACTGAATCACCGTGATGATGATGATTTCTTCAAATCTCTAAATCTTTATTTATACTCGGGAGAAACACCACCATCATGATGATTATACACATGGGTATGTGTTGTTGATGATGATTTCTTCACCCAACTACAACGACTTGTGTGATAGGACTAGGGTTAGGGTTCTTGAAGCTGTTAAAAGAGATGAATTAAAGTACTGATCGATCTACGAGAGAGAGAGAGAGAGAGAGAGAGAGAGAGAGAGAGAGAGAGAGAGAGAGAGAAGCTGGGGGGGGGGAGGGGGGGGAGGGGGGGGGGGGGGAGATGAAGAAGGGTAACAAAGTTATGTTTGATTTGCATGTTTTGATTTGTAGGTTCTGAAGAAGCATCGTTCATAATTTATTTCTTGGGCAAATTACACAGATGGTCCCTATGGTTTAGGGTAATCTGCATGTTTAGTCCCTAAAAACTTTTTTTAACTCGGATCATCCCAAAAATTTTAATTTTTTGCATATTTGGTCCCTGTTAACTTAAAAAGACAATTTTACCCTTATAATATTATTTTTAGAATTATTTTTTATTAACTGTTGTTTAAAAAAAACTATTTAATAAAAAGTCCATGTGGGTCCACCACCAAAACCCACTCCCTTTACGTCTCTCTCTCTCTTGGATGTTCGATCCAGTCCCTCACCCTTCTTCTCGGCTGCCTCACTCCTAACTCCTCCTTCCTCACCGCGACTTGCATCTCATCATTTATCCCTCCTTCAACTTCAACATCGAGTTGCATCTCCTTCCTCCCTTTCTACTGCCTCTCTCTTTCTTGCTCAAATATGACAGACGAAGCATCGCCGACAGGATCCACAATTATCGGACCATCGGACGCCCTTAAACCCCTGGACCGGCGACCATTCCTAAATTCACCATCGTGAAATCAAAACCTTGGATCATGGTTTCCAGTGACAATGTTGGAGAAAAGATCTCTCTGTTTATTACCGTCAGCAAGTGAAAGACCACCCACCAAAGTCCCTGCTTCAGTCATCGTCCACCACTGGATCCTAGAACCCTTCACCGTCATCATCAATCTGGAGAAAGAAAAAGAAAATGAGAGAAGAAAGTAACCAGAGGCGTGTAGGGTTCGGTGGTTGGAGCGTTTGCTGCATCGTGAGAAAGAAAAGAGAATGAGATCTGAAACCCAGATGGCCTGGTAATGGTGGATTTCATCGATTGGGTTCATCTGGTTCTAGCTTCTCTCCACTTCCCTCGTTTTCTCCTCTCTCATCTATTAACGAAACTAAATAACAAAAATGTTTTTCTGCGATTTTTTGGATTTGATGGCATAAGGTTTGAAGTCTAGAACATTGAATTCACCGATTGGATTGTAATTGATGTTTCATCAGATTCTGTGTGATGTTTTGTGATTTCTATTACATCAGATTTTCTTGTTTTGAATTCAGTTTCATCAGATATAGGTTTTGGTTGTGATTTTTTTTCTTCACAAATTGATTAGTAGTTATGAGCTTGGTTATGGATCTTACAAGAAACACCTAAGGAGGTGAGCAAGCAGGAAGGTGGCTTTTTGGTCGGAAAAGGATGAAACAGAGTTATGGGTGGTTTGCCGGAGAAAACGAGGTTGTGGGTTGTTTACTGGATAAGAAGAGGGTGGGGTGGGGTGGGTAAAGTAGTAATAGGCTGCTGGGATCCATCAAATGTTAATATTTAATTAATATCCTTTTCATATTTAATTAATATTCATTGATAATTTAAAAAAATAAAAAAGAAATTAGCAAGGGTATATCAGTCTTTTTAGAACTAATAGGGACCAAGCGTGCAACAAATATATAAATCAAGAACGGTCCGAGTTAGAAAAAGTTCTTAGGAACGAAACACACAGATTACCCTAAACGATAGGGACCATCCGTGTAATTTACCCTTATTTCTTTCTCTTACGATTTTTGGGTTCCGATTTTTACGGTGACGTCAGATCTTTGGGGAGGAAATGTGTGGGGCGGAAAGAAACGGGTGGGACGGGTTCAGTGGGGATCACGTTCCTCATAATGGTGAAAGTAGATCTCTTCTTCCTTCCTATACAAACTCACCACTACCTGAAAGCCCTCTTGTCTCCAACACCATCTCCAATTTACACTAGAAACGATGTACATCTCTTCCAGTGAAACACACATCATCAAACCCTTCCCATTCAGCCACCACTCCCGTTTCCGCAAGAACATATAGCGAACAACAGAAATCACAGGTAAGATCGATCATATTCCTAACAAATATAGATTCAAAATTGAAATGAAGCCCTTTAGGTTTTGGGCTAGTTTGTAACTTTAGGCTTTAGGATTTATAGTCATACATAGATAAAATTGTGTGCAGATTGGGGCGATTCAAACTTTAGTTTCAAGGTCGTTTTCTGTACCTAGGCGAAACATTGTTATCGTAAGATCAATTTCTTTTGCAGCACATAAGGATAATGATCAAGTCGAGAGTGCTAATGGTATGTTTTTTATTATATACACTTGCGATTTGATTTTCATATTCCAATTTTGTTGAAACAATTTTGTTTCAAATTAAGATCAAATTGGTTGTATTGAAGTGGAAAACGATGAGGAGATTGACGAGGAAGAAGCGATTTGCAGAATCTGCTTTGATTCATGCGATGAAGGTAATCAGTTGAAGATGGAATGCAGTTGCAAAAGGTGTGCTTAGACTTGTTCATGAAGAATGTGCAGTTAAATGGTTTAGTCTTATAGGGAACAAAAACTGTGATGTTTGTGGTCGTGAAGTCTCAAATTTACCAATAACTTTGCTTCGCATGCCAAGTTATGTTTAAAGACAAACCGTGAATATGAATCCATAAAATCAAGAGCATATGAATTCAGGAACAATAAGGTAGCTTCATTAAATTTTCAAATTTTAATGGAGAATTTAGAATTCTTGAATTCTTACATGTTTGTTTATTCGGTACATGACAGGATTTTGTGGTGCTAGTTTTGATAAATGAAAAGACAAAAATACCCATGTACTAATGGTACAAAAGTGATGGCGTTAGGGTCAAGGACAAATCTCGCAATGAACTGAAACCATAAGGACCAATGGTGTGACTTTTTGCTAGGAAGTCCTCAAAATGCGATATTCTGTAAACCATAGGGACCAATTGTGAAATTTTTTCATATATATATGGTTAGGATCTGTTGAGAACATTTATATTCGTGAGAGCGGTGAACCTTTTTTGCTGTAGATTTTTTCTATCTCTCTCTCTCTCTCTCTATATATATATATATATATATATATATATATATATACCTCTAAAATGTGTATATATACAAACTTTTGTCTAAAAAAATTTCAGAAAAATGGGTATATATGAAATGAGCATATATGCATTACATAAGTATTTGTGTGAATGACAGTTATATATTATGTTTGTTTTTTACATGCATTAATATTCTATGTGAAATTGTTTGTTAAAGTGCTCAAACGCTAACATGTATCAAAGTTATAACAGTTACAAAGTGTAACATTCAGTTTAAGATGCATGATTTCGAGGTTTCTTTATCTTTTGAATGAAGTCACGACATGAGTAATGCCCCTCACGTCGTGAGCTAAGGTTGACCTATTGACCCGTATTCTTTGAATCTCACAACGTTTGGGTGTATTAGACATGCTTTCCTAGTTAATTTAATACATATATACATGTCATCAATAATATCATAAAATATACAAATGACATGAATAATCAACAAGTGACTAACCTTGATCATGCTACATATTTGGGTGTATTAAAACAATCTCATTTGCACAAACTTGAATGCTTTGTGTTGTGATTGCCGTTGGTTACTGTTGCTGAGTTGGAAAATCGTATACCACATTATATTATCATAACAAAGATAAAAACATTAGATTTTATGAACTTATAAACATTATATCAACATTTCATCCCAGATTAACATATTTTATTAATAGTTGTAGAAACAACTGTATATGTTGGGGTTGCAATGCTTTTCACGGATACAACAATGTTATTATGTGACATGGAATTTGGTGATCTGAATGGATAACCCTACCGATAATAAAAGAGTTCTTCGGTTCCTACCATAGACAATAACCGTTGCAACGTTGTTCAATTGGTACACTAAGCAACGCTACATTCATTTACATTTGGATCAATTGTGTATAATAACTTAATGAGATTTTCTGACTGTGCCAACAAATATTAATTATCAGAAATATTATTATAATTAAATATGAAATATATGATTATAGAGAATATGGAAAAATATAAAATGCATTAATTAAAAAAAAAGAATATTATTTATAATTAATATAGTTTATATTTAAATAATATTCCCTCCGCAAGAATAGCAGTATGTCAAAACTCAAAAGACTAGAATTCAACCTTAATCAATGACAAATGTCTCTATTTGGATCAGTTACAAAGATACTTATATTCCGTTTCCATTTATTTAATCGTCTTTACTATTTTGTGGATGTTACCAAATACTAACTTATGTAATCAATTACATCCCTTCCATAATCCATATATAAGAAAGAACCTTGCATGCAACCACTAATAAAACATCAAGACACACACACACACAGCAAAAGATGGGAGACGAACACATTCCTTTATTTGAAACCAAGCAAGCTAAGGGACGAACTCTGTTCAAGCTTTATACAGCATCAATGGCGATGGGTATATGTTTGATATGCGTTTATAGAGCAACCCACACACCCGAAAAGGGCAAAACCGGAAGATACTTATGGATTGGGTTGTTCATGGCTGAGCTATGGTTCACCTTCTACTGGCTCATAACCCAATTGGTTCGATGGAATCCAGTCACACACCAAACCTCCAAAGACCAACTCTCTCTCAAGTCTTTTAATTTCTCAATAATTATCCATAATCTTCTCTTCAAATATGTGGCTGTATGTGATATGAATCTGGTGTACTTATGTTTGCAGGTATGAAAACATGCTTCCTGGTGTTGACATATTTGTCTGTACAGCGGACCCAGTAATAGAGCCGCCATTAATGGTGATAAACACGGTGTTATCCATGATGGCATACGATTACCCACCGGAAAAGCTCAACATTTATGTCTCCGATGATGGTGGATCAGAATTAACGTTCTTTGCACTTCTAGAAGCTTCTCGTTTCTGTAAATACTGGCTACCCTTTTGCAAAAGGTACAAGATTGAGCCACGTTCACCCTCGGCTTACTTTGCTCATGCATCTCCTATAAACAACGAATGGTCATTCATCAAGGTAGGCTCCCAAGTCCCAACATAAGTAATACACTAAGAACATAAATTCTTATATATTTTATTTAATTAAACAGAATAAATATGAAGAAATGAGTAAACGAATTGATAACACCACAAGGTTAGGGAAAGTGACAGAAGAGACAAGAAAAGAGGATAAAGGGTATCAAGAATGGGATGTTGATTCAAGCAAAAATGATCATCAGGCTGTTATCCAAGTACTTTACATCTTTCACATACTAAATGTTTTTAAAACATAACTTATATACTATTTACAATCATAATAAGTATAAACTTTTATATATAGATACTAATTGATCAAAGAGATCCTGAAGCAAGAGATACAGAAGGGAAAAGTTTGCCGGGTTTGGTATACGTGGCACGTGAGAAGAGACGTGAATGGCATCATAACTTCAAAGCAGGAGCCATGAATGCTCTGGTAATCTATATTCAACATATCATGTCAATTCATGTATAACAAAATGAATAATTAGTGATTTAGTAAATTGTGAATTAACCAACAGATACGGGTGTCATCAAAGATAAGCAACAACCCAATTATTCTAAATGTGGATTGCGATATGTACTCAAACAACTCAGAATCTATACGAGATGCCATGTGTTTTTTCATGGATGAAAGGAGCCAAAATAATATTGCATTCGTACAGTTTCCACAAAACTTTGATAATCTTACAAGAAACGATCTTTACAGCAATTCTCTGATGGTCATAAATAATGTAAGAATGTTTTTCTTTTTGGACCAATGAACTATCTGAATGTAAGTAAATGACCATTCTACCCTTATGATAAAGGTGGATATTGGAGGTTTGGATTCTTACGGGGGATGCCTATACATCGGAAGTGGTTGCTTTCACAGAAGAGATACTCTCTGTGGCAGAATCTATTCCCTAGACACAAAAATCAATTGGGAGAAACAAAATCATAAAGAAATTATAGAAAGTACTGATGTGCTAGAAAATGAATGCAAAATTCTTGCAAGCTGTAGTTATGAACACAACACTCAATGGGGAAAAGAGGTCTCTCTCTCTCTCTCTCTCTCTCTCTCTCTCTCACACACACACACACACACATTGCAGTATATATCTAACTGTATACTTACAGATGGGATTAAAGTATGGGTGTCCAGTTGAAGACATCATTACTGGACTTTCAATAAAATGTAGAGGTTGGAGATCTGTCCACTTAAATCCAAAAAGAAGAGCGTTCCTAGGACTTGCTCCAACTACATTGTTACAGACACTAATTCAGACAAAAAGATGGGCAGAAGGCGAATTCCAAATATTCTTATCCAAATACTGCCCCCTTGTATTCGGGCACAACAAAATTCCACTGAAACTTCAAATTTCTTATTGCTGTTACCTTTTATGGCCTGTAAATTGCTGGGCTACGCTATATTATGTTTTGGTGCCTTCTTATTGTCTCCTTGCACGCATCTCTCTGTTCCCAAAGGTTTGACTTTTCAAGCATTTCAAAATCAATACATTTTGTTTTACTATAAATAGCATTCATATGTTTGATTGTGTTTAACTATTTATACCTACAGTTATCAAGCTACTGGTTTCTACCTTTTGCGTATGTATTTGCTGGAAAATACGTGTACAGTTTAGGGGAGTTTTACTGGTTAGGGGGGACAGTAAGAGGTTGGTGGAATGACCAAAGAATGTGGTTGTACAGAGGATTAACTTCTTACCTTTTTGGATTCTGTGATGTTATCTTCAAGTCAATGGGTTTCACCACTTCTGGTTTTGTCATCACATCAAAGGTTTCTGAAGAAGATGCGTTACAGAGATACAACAAAGAGATCATGGAATTTGGTGCCACGTCACCAATGTTCAACATTTTATCAACACTTGCTCTCGTTAATGTTCTCAGCTTTGTTAATGGAGTAAAGTGGGTGGTTATGGATTCAGATATTAGTGGTTTTAGTGAGTTAGGGGTACAGATGGTTTTGTGTGGTTTGATAATCCTCATTAACATTCCATTATATGACGGGATGTTTTTTCGTAAGGATAATGGTAGCATGCCCTCTTCTGTTACCTACCTGTCAACTATTTTTGCTATATTATTTTGTACATTAGCCATTATTTAGATCGCAACATGTAAAAAATATGTCGACTAGGGCTCATATTTCAAGTTATTTATTAAAGCATTTATGAATAAAAAAAATGATAACTAATAGCCAAAAGGTTTTTTTTTTTTTTTTTTTTTTTGAGTTGTGGAGTGTGATTCACCCTTCTCTTCTCACCCACTATGATGCATGGAAACGCCATCCAGGGTGCCGTACCCGTATCCGATACTTGGAGGAAACGGAAACGCATAGGAAACGGCCTGGAAACGTTTCCTGGACGTATCGGCAAAAATCGAAACGTATCACGTAAGTTTCCAAGAAGTTTCCGATTTTTTTTTTTTTTTTTTTTTTTTTTTTTGCATGGGCTTTCCAGTCCAAATAAGCTAATGGATAATTGGGCTATCGAAATTACCCTACAACTATCAATATTACCGATCGGTGCCTCCCTAATTCGTTGGTTAATTTTAATTTACTATCCTTTAGACGTTTACCTTTACTGCTTGGCTGCTTGCGGCTTGCTGTCGACGATCACCTTGGTGATTAAGAAATCAGAAATCGATTATGGCTTCTAGATCTAGTTCTCAAGAACAAGAAACACAAGGATCAAGTACATTAAACTTTACATATTTTGGAATTTTTTTAATATATATATGTTTTTTCATATTTTTGTATTGCCGTATCTGTGTCATATCTGTATCTTAAATTTTTGAGTTTTGCCGTTTCCTGTATCCGTTTCCCGTTGCCGTATCCATTTTCGTGCAACTTAACTCACCCATGTAGCCGCTAGTAAGACCAAACCTGTGTCCCAGTCCCGAAAGAGCGGACGGGGTCAAGGGGAGTTCTATGGATTCGGGAAAAAACACAATAAGTAATGTGATCACATCACGGGTATTCGTATTCACTTGGTTGTCCATGTTATAGAAAAGTGTTGCTCTTTCAACAACTTTCAAGTGAGTTAGCAGAATTGCAGTTTGGCATTATCATTAAAATCTCTCTCTCTCTCTCTCTCTCTCTCTCTCTCTTATGTAACAATTACTCTGATTCGCGTAAGCCACGTTAAATATTGTGTTGTTTATTTTTCATCTGCATTAATACTTTATGATTTATGATACACATTGTATAATCTGTATTATCGATTATTTTATAATCACAATAAATAGACAAAATTGCAAGAATGGTCTCTGTGGGTAGGTCGAAATTGCCACTTTGGACCAAACAGATTTGGACTAGCACTCATGGTCCAAAGGTTTTCATTTTCTTGCCACTTTGGTCCAATTTACTTTAAACTTTTTTCTAATGATGATTTTGCACTTGGTTTAGCTTTTTCAGTTTTATTTATTTATTTATATAGTTTAATATTTGGGTAAATTACACGGATGGTCCCTATGATTTAGGGTAATCTGCATGTTTGGTCCCTAAGAACTTTTTCTAACTCGGACCGTCCTTGATTTATATATTTGTTGCACGCTTGGTCCTTATTAGTTCTAAAAAGACTGATATACCCTTGCTGATTTCTTTTTTATTTTTTTAAATTATCAATGAATATTAATTAAATGTGAAAAGGATATTAATTAAATATTAACATTTGATGGATCCCACCAGCCCATTACTACTTTACCCACCCCACCCCCACCCTCTTCTTCTCCGGTAAACAACCCACAACCTCGTTTTCTCCGGTAAACCACCCATAACTCCATTTCATCCTTTTCCGACCAAAAGCCACCTTCCTGCTTGCTCATCTCCTTAGGTGTTTCTTGTAAGATCCATAACCAAGCTCATAACTACTAATCAATTTTGTGAAGAAAAAAAATCACAACCAAAACCTATATCTGATGAAACTGAATTCAAAACAAGAAAATCTGATGTAATAGAAATCACAAAACATCACACAGAATCTGATGAAACATCAATTACAATCCAATCGGTGAATTCAATGCTCTAGACTTCAAACCTTATGCCATCAAATCCAAAAAATCCCAGAAAAACATTTTCGTCATTTAGTTTCGTTAATAGATGAGAGAGGAGAAAACGAGGGAAGTGGAGAGAAGCTAGAACCAGATTAACCCAATCGACGGAATCTACCATTACCGGGCCATCTGGGTTTCAGATCTCGTTCTCTTTTCTTTCTCACGATGCAGCAACACTCCAACCACCGAACCCTAGACGCCCCTGGTTACTTTCTTCTCTCATTTTCTTTTTTCTTTCTCCAGATTGATGATGACGGTGAAGGGTTCTAGGATCCAGTGATGGTGGACGAGGACTGAAGCAGGGACTTTAGTGGGTGGTCTTTCACTTGCTGACGGTAATAAGCGGAGAGATCTTTTCTGCAACATTGTCACTGGAAACCACGATCGAGGGTTTTGATTTCACGATGGTGAATTTAGGAATGGTCGCCGGTCCAGGGGTTTAAGGGCGTCTGATGGTCCGATAATTGTTGAACCTGTCGGCGATGCTTCGTCTATCATATTTGAGCAAGAAAGAGAGAGGCAGTAAAAAGGGAGGAAGGAGATGCAACTCGATGTTGAAGATGAAGGAGGGATAAACGATGAGAAGCAAGTCACAGTGAGGAAGGAGGAGGTAGGAATGAGGCAGCCAAGAAGAAGGGTGAGGGACTGGATCGAACATCCAAGAGAGACGTAAACGGAGTGGGTTTTGGTGGTGGACCCACATGAACTTTTTATTAAATAGTTTTTTTTTTAAAAACAGTTAATAAAAAATAATTCTAAAAATAAAATTATAAGGGTAAAATTGTCTTTTTAAGTTAACAGGGACCAAATATGCAAAAAATTAAAATTTTAGGGATGATCCGAGTTAAAAAAAGTTTTTAGGGACTAAACACGCAGATTACCCTAAACCATAGGGACCATCCGTGTAATTTACCCTTAATATTTAAAAGAAAAACAAAAAAAATACATCTCTCTCTCTCTCTCTCTCTCTCTCTCTCTCTCTCTCTTTCCTACTTATATTCCTCACCTCTTTTTGCTAAAATCCTCCAAAACCACCGGTCATCGCCGCCACACCCATGACCACCGATCAACTCCACCACCACCATCGATCAACGTCGACAACAACACCTGTGAACACCTCCAGTAACGTCATAGCATCATATGAAATTCGGATCGAGCTACAGATTTAGACTGAGAAGGCTACAACCACCACTACCAGTCAAAATGTATCAAAAATGTTTGTTGATCTGAAAACAAAAGAAGGGTAGCGACGAAGATACAACGGACGAACTACGACAAACAGATATCTCCAGCGATGACAGGAGACGATACGATCGTTGGAGCTTCTCCAAACGAAGCTAGGGTTTTTAATGAAAGGGGTCGGACGGAGCTAGGGTTTGCAAACCCTAAACTGGTGAAAGTGAGAGCAAGGCAGCAGCGACGTAGTAGTTGTCGACGGTGGCTTCCTACGCTCGAGGTGGAGATCTGGTAAGATAGGGTGTTCAACGGATCTTCACCTTCAAACAGCCACGGACCCGACAATGTTGCAGATCTGGTAGGATGATGTTGATCTACACTTATTACGACGAACACGGTGACGTTGAAAACCCTTAGGGGTTTTGATGCCTTTCCAATATTCGCCTTTGAAGCCCTTCCCTGCAGCTGCAAACCCTAGCAACTCGACGAAGACGATAGTTGAGCCGTTGCAAACTCTGAAGTTAGGGTTTATTGGCGGCTTGGGTTTTCATTTCTTGGTGGCTAAGTTGATTTGTCGGAGCTGGGATGGTTAATTTTTCGGAGCTGAGAACAACAAAACAGTGGGTGAAAGGATGGGTGTTTGGTGGTGCTACACGACCGGAGGGAGGCGGGGAGGGGCTGCAAGGGTGGTGGTCGGCAGCCTCCTTTCTCCGTCAGAGGAAAAAAGATGGTGAGAAATGACCGGGTCAACTGTTTTTTTTTGTTAAGAGAGAGAGAGAGAGAGGGGGAGAGAGAGAGGTATTTTCTTTCTTAATTTTCTTTCAAATCTTAAACTATATAAATAAATAAATAAAAACTGAAAAAGCAAAACCAAAGAAAAAATCATCATTACAAAAAAGTTTAAAGTAAATTGGATTTAAATATTCTAAAATTATCAGGAGTAGTCAGACAAAAAAGCCACACACACACACACACACACACATATATATATATATATATATATATATATATATATATATATATATATATGTGGGTAAAGTGAATATACCTAACAACCTTATATAAGCTTAGGTACCTAACCACATTATACTACATTGTTTTGCATTATATTTCCATTGCAATCGTCTAAGGTTCTTAAACTTCAACCCTTAATTTGATTTAATTCCAAGATTTTCAGACATTCACCATTATATTCCTCCTACACCATTTGATTTGTAACAGCAGTATATGAAGCCCACCAGGGGGTCTCCGATAGAAAGACGTCATTTGAAGGAAGATAATGGTGAAAGTCCAAAGATTTTGGAAACAATCAAGTTATGAGGTTGAATTTTAAGAACTTTGGGTGATTACAATGCAAATACGATACAAAATCACATAGTATTATGTGGTTAGGTACCTAAGCTTATATAAGGTTGTTAGGTATATTCACTTTACCCTATATATATATATATATATATATATATATATAATATATATATATATATATATATATATATATATATATATATATATATATATACTAGGTTAAAACCTGTGGAAACCACGGGTAAAAAAGAAAAACATTATTGATAATTTAAAATGATAATAAAAAATAAAAAATTATTAAATTACAAATATAGAAGTTTTGTTTATAAGTATATATTGATTAGTTAAATTTAATATATACATTGTTGTGGATACTTATCTAAGTTTTGTTAAATTATAGGTAAATATGTTTTACTATACTATGAGTAAATATGACATTTATAAAAAAAATATATATAAAAGAAATAAATTAGAGCAACACGGCACCAATAACTATCTATCTAGTTATTATTAACTATGAATAAATAATTGTGTAAAGTTTTAATTGTTATTTTAAAAAATAAACGCCAATGATGAAACATATAAATTTTATAGAGTAATTTATTGTGTTAAATAAAAATTGTAAAGGTACTAATGATTGAAATATATATATATATATATATATATATATATATATATATATATATATATATATATATATATATATATATATATTGAAAATTATTTAAAAATGAAATGGTAACTAAATACGTGTAAAAAAAAAAAGTAAACATGACTCATGTTGGTATTCTTTACAAGTATAGGGACTAAATTTAAAGGTTAGACATGAAATTGGATTAAAGATTTACACAAAGATCCAACTCATTTTTAATATAGATAAAGTAAATACCTTTATAAAGATCTAACTCATCGCTCTTTGGTTCAAAAGAAAATTGGTGCACAAGAGGTACGTTGTGTTGTGATTACCAATTAAAAAGGATGTGTTGCAATTACCGATTAAGTTGGAGTGATTTTTGGGATATATTGAACCGATTATGAAGCTGCAATTATAACAGGTAAAACAAATTAGGTTTTTATTTTTGGTGAATATGGAAATCGATTGGGGTTGAAGAGTTTCCAACGGTAATTTGTTAGTAATAAACATATGATTGTAGTGCATCATTATATCCAAATTTCTCTCTATATCTTTAGAAAATTGCTAATTTATTTTCATTTTTGGATTTCAAGGTTACTGCTTGGTATGAGTTTTAGGCATAACAGGATGGAGCAAGGCATGAATCTTTTTGATTAATACGTGATTTTTTTATTTTATTAACATATATATTATATAAATAGATCCTTTTATAATAATTATTTTTAAATTTCAAGAAATCATTTATAATGCTTATGTTTCCTCAAATTATGATTAGATTTTATAGGTGGAGGGACATGGGATATAGAAAGAGTAGAGAAGGTAACGATGGTTAATCACTTTTTGAAATTTATGCTAGATGCTTAATTATTTTTGAAATTTATGATAGAAGATTAATTAGTTTGTGATCACCAGCTTTTGTGCTTATGAATTTATATTGGAACTTACAGATTTATGTTTTAAACAATTTCTTGTGAACCGTTTATGAATTTAATTATTTCATCTTTTTTGTTGGATGGTTCTTATTTACTATTATTAATAAGTGGAATGATCTTGATAAAAAAGTAAAAATTTGGTGTTTTTTTAATGTAATTTAAAAGATTGTGAGTTGAAAGTATAAAGAAAGTAGAATGTTATATTAAACATAACAAACAAAGCCTGTTGTTATATTGTGCATTCAAATTAAAAAAACTATCAAAATAGCAAAAAGCTTCCCCATTTTTCTAATTTGTAGAAAATAATGTAATAAGATTTTGTTGTTTTTATATTGTTTTGTTGTTAATGTTACTTGGAATGGTGTTCAGATGGAGAGAGGAGAGAAAAGGGAAAATTCAAACTTTTTTGGGGAAGGAGTTGTGCGTACTTGCTCGTGAAGTGGCTAGGGTTGAGGCAATTTGAGTGTACGCTGGTGAGTTATATTAAATATTAGAGGGTGTAATTATTGTAAATAGCGATTTACTTTACTCTCTTTATTAATATAGGCATTGTACTTTATCTTTTACCTATAATAGCAATGTGCTTACATTATTTACCCTCTATAGTGACTTCAATAATAATTACTGTAAATAGCGATTTACTTTACTCATTATACGCTTATAATGACTTCAATAATAATTACTAAATTACTTTAATTCTTTTTAAAATAAATTACTTATAAAATGAAATAAGATGTTATACTAAACCATTAATTTTTTTATTGTTTATCTATGAAAGTAGGATGTTATATCATATATACAATTGAAATCGAAACAGTAGACTTTTCCTTCTAATGAGAAGCAGGTGATTGACTTTCAAAAGTGAACTGTCTGAAATACACACAAAGATACACATACAGCTAACTGAAATAGCAATGTAATTTTAAATAGGGTGTCTTTCATGTATCTCAAGAAAAAGGTGGAAAAAATGTGGCAGCAAGTAAAATAAAGTGATTTAACCGCACAAACAGCAACAACACAACAAATTATGATTTATGAGTAATTTATATTATATTTCAAAAGCTAACTGAAATACAAAATTTGATACATATGCAAGATACACATACAGATAAAAAGCAATCAGATACACATACATCAAAGTACTAACCCGATGCCTTTTTTCCTTGTATTTCTTTGTGCTTCCAGTGGTGGATAATGTCAAGAAAACGAATGCCAGGTGAAAAAAATGGAGAGTCAAATAACAACAATAAGACTTCTTGATTATTGTGTGTTTGCTTCCAACAGAGTAAGAGTCATCTTGATTTGCATTTGTGTGTACGTGTGTTTTTCAATACCAGGTGTGTGTATTTGTGTGTGTTAATCCTCTATGTTCTTAGTCTGGACAATAATATTAGGCAAACAATCGCAGGAAAGTACGTAGTAAAAGTATATTGCTATTAAATTAGGTTTACAAACATATGATTATTAGTGGTGATTGAAGAAGGACTAACCTCAATTTATATGATCTCTTTCTTGCAGAAGTCGTGGAAGAAAAAATATTTTGTCAATTAGAATGAAGGGTAAAATGTGTGATAGCAATAGGAATTTAAATGGAGATGCAAATTTAAAGAAGGTAAGAGTAATATACTCCTGATTTTTTTGGATTCATTAAAATCCTGAAAGATTTAAAACGTATTTGCATTGGTTGACAAATAGAATACCATTTTCAAATTAGGATAGGATTCCTTTTCAAATATTTGAATAGTAATGAAGGGGAAGCAGTCAAATACTTACTGATAACACGTAAAGTATATTGTTGTATGAAGAACAGAAAAACAGATTGCAAACACAAAAAAAAAAAAATTGATAAGTATAACCTCGATATATGAAGAACTCAATGCAGTATCCCTTACCATAAAGTATATTGTGATTTTGCCCCTGCAACTTCCAATTAGATAACATGACAAATAGTAATGCCAAGTTAGATATCATGAATTAGTAGTGGCAAATGTTTTTTTTTTTTTTGTTTTTTTTAATTTTTTTTATAATCCATTAATGAAATAATAAAATATTGATCCGTATAAATTTTTTTGTAAAAAAATATTGACATTTTTGTAAAGTAATAAGTAAAAAAATATTGGCATTTCTTCAACTATAATGTTATCTGACCAAAAAAAATACATGTACAGTTGTTAAAGTGGAAGAATTAAGTACATAAACATCAAAACTATGAAAAATATATGCAGCTATCGAATTTTTATAAATGCATGAATTCAGATTGCTAACCTTTTGTAGTTGTTCTTGTCCTGGAGGATGAATATGCAGCAAACGATCATAAAATGAAGAAATTATAACCGGTACAGAGAGGAAGGATTGAATACCGTTTGTAATGAGTTCTCTAAAGCAAAATGGTGAAGAAAATAGAAGCGTAAAGAATGAATAGTGGTATATATTTCGGTATGATTTTATTTTGTGCAGATTTTTTGGGATTTATTGACTGGATAATAATTAGCTTCCCATTATAATAAACAAACTTCCATATTTTATTGGATTGGATATCAAGGAATTTCAAATTTTAAATTACGATTTGTGCATCTTATTTTGATTTATTGATGCAGATTTTTCGGATTCATTGTGAATGTATATGAATATGATTTGGACGTAAATGTAGATGATGAAAAGAAGCGGGAAAACACAATTTTGGGCTGCTGGGAGATTGACACGTGGATAGATTCTACTTATTTATTAGGATAGGGGATATATATATATATATATATATATATATATATAATAATATATATAGGGCTAGGTTCAAATGTTCTTGACATCTATTGTGTGCCCATATGCACAAATCTGGACCAACGGATGAAATAGATTCAATGATCTTGATCTGAGGGTCTATGATATTAAAATAGGGTAACATGTACCATATAATAACATAAATTTCACCATAAGGGTATTTTGGTCAATTAACCTATATTAAAAAAGGAAATTTCCAGATTTTAAGGGATAATTAATACCCTTATTTTTAAAAATATGAATTTTTTAAATTTAATTCGAATATAATTTTTAATAATATCCGATTTCATTCTGTTAGAATGACATGAAAATCAACCATAAACTAGTAAACATATTTTTGATTTTATTCTTGTAGAATATGATTATATTCAATATTTATATATATTAACATGCTTAAAGAATTATATAACATATTATCAACACTAACATTTTATAAAGAATACATGTCTTCTTGCACTAATAATATATCAAATAATTACATTGTATGATTGTGATACAAAGAACATTCTTGAATAACAACAAAATTATGAAAGAATGACAAGTGTAATTCTTTAAAACATAACAAGATTCTTAAAATGTGAGTGTGATCAATCTTTTATTCATTCTTCAAGCATTTCCTATCATGTCTTCAAACCATTCTTCAATCAATTCCTATAAAAAATGCAACAAAAACTAAGAATGGTTAAAAATATCATAGCAAATCTATTACAAAAAAGGCAAACACAAATTCTAAAAGAATCATTAACTCTAAAGTGCAATTACCATTACTGCACTACCATTATTCTGACAGAATATATATATGCCATTTTAAATTTTGGCAGAATGCATATAATATTTTAAATTGGCATTATGGATTGTAATTCTGATAGAATATAGCAGACATTAAAAAAATTGTAACTTATTCTAATAGAATATAGCAGACATTAAAAAAATTGTAACTACCATTATTCTGACAGAATATATATATGCCATTTTAAATTTTGGCAGAATGCATATAATATTTTAAATTGGCATTATGGATTGTAATTCTGATAGAATATAGCAGACATTAAAAAAATTGTAACTTATTCTAATAGAATGTAATCTTCAAAGTATAAATTTTGATAAAATTCAACATGTTCATTCTATGATCAATCGGAAGACATGAATAAAAAAAATACCTAGATTTCACTGGAGAAGAAGAATCGGCGACCACCACCACATCCTCTCCACCTCCTGACCTGCTTCGATCGGAGCAACAGCCCCACCCCGTTGCTTCTCCTTTTGTTCTTCGGTCTAATCACTCATCGGAGATCGATAAAGAAGATCTTGCTCTTATGGCAATTGTCAACGGTGACAAAATCAAAATCAAAGACGGCGTAGCGGCAGTCGTCGCCAGGAAGGGAAGCTTCAAGATCGGAATAGCCTTCTCCAGCGCCACCAATGCTAAGAAAACGAGAGGGAGGATAGATCGATGTATACGTGATCGGCTAGGGTTTTTTTCAACAGATTTTGACTACATTCCATATTTAAAGGAATAATAAAGAACATATTAATTATCTACCATATTTAAATATGTCAAGATTACTATAATACTCTTAAATGATTTATTTAATAATTAATTATTTCCTGAATTCTTATTGGTGCACACAGTCACACAATAGTTATCAAAAACATTTGAACCTATATATATATATATATATATATATATATATATATATTATATTATATATATATATATAATATATATATAATATATATATATATATAGATAGATAGATCTTATACAGCTGACCATTTTTGCCTTCTCC